GCTTGTAAAAATCTAAATGTTTTTTAATGTATTTAAATGTTTTCTCTTATTTAAGGAATGTACATCAAATGATATGCACTTCTCTGCATCAGTGGATATTTATTTTATATTTCATATTTCATATTTATTTTGAGGGCATACAAGTAACAGTCAAGCATAAAATCATTGTTGTCTCCTCATTTTTCCCTCTGAACTTACATGCTTTACATTACAGCAGAATTTAAACACACCTAATATGAATTATACACTGAAACATATTCAATAATGCATGAAAAGCACAGCAGCTTTAAATGTAAAGCATATTTAAGGGAAGTGTTGTCACTGTTTTGCTCAGAGGTCATAAATACTTGATGTTTTGCAGCTTCTCTCGTGTTTCTTCACCATAATGCCCCTGTAATACTCTGGCTGTTCAGCTAATACACAAACTTTCCTGAAAATGCACAGAAATAAACAGAAAAACAATCTATTTTTAAAGCTGCTTTTGGCCTCGAAGTACACATCAAAACCACATAGATACAAACCTCCTCTAGTTAGTCTCAGCCATTCATAACACCATACACTTACACACTGACACCAGCTTTCTGTCAGTGTAATAATGTTATACAAGCTCACAGTCAGCACAAACTTCCCTCGTCTTTCCTGTGGACACGGAGGGACTTTGGTAACTTCAACAAACTCATGAATAAAACATTTCTTAATGGCTCTTGTTTGGAGCGGGATTCAGAAAATTTAATCTCATACATGAGCAAGTAAAGCTTTCAAGCAAACCAAACTGTGCTATGCTCTGTTCATAGCTGGATTATAGTGGATGACATTTACAGAAGGGAAAGGCTTCAGATCAGGAGAGATAATACACTCAGAAGAATTTCATTTCACACAATTAAACACAAATTCATAGCCTAAAGAAAAACATTCCTCAAGTATATTTAACATTTAAATGATCATGTAGAGACATTTAAGTAGGGTTAGCTATTTTCAGGCTACAGGTGCCTGCCTTTGTGTCATAAGACAAATCAGTCCAGTATCCTTGTATCTTACTGTGTTGTTTCTGCATTTCAGATTCAAAATATCACTTTTTTATTGTGTCTTACAGTAGTGATGGGCACGGCAGATCTTTTACATGTACTGAATCAATAGAATCAGTTCACTGAAAAAGTTCATTCAAAAGATTCATTCACCAAATCACCGAATCATTCAGCGCTTGGCAGGAGGAGCCTGCGACTCCGACTTACTGAATTGATAGACAGCTGAACGGTTCAGGTTTTCGGGAGACAAGAGTGTTGTGGTTGCGCGTGCGGTCCCTCCCTCCCTGCAGCGGCTTGCCAGCTGCTCGCCCGGCAATGTTGCGTCCTATGGCAGCTGCGCTGCTGATAGCTCAACTGAACAGAGAAATGAACGAATCACTTGAGGAAGTGAGTCGGTTAAGTGCGTTCACTTAGAAGATTTGTTCTTTTGTATGAATCATTTGTGAACGAAACGACACTATCTTACTGCATCATAATGATTCACATCGTACCGTATTATATGTTGTCGAATATGACAATGAATCATATTTCTTATTGTATTGAATTAAGCATACAAACTTTGTCTTGTTAAAGGAGAGAACTTTAGTTCACTCAATCAGACTCGGTTTGATTTTATTACAATATTAGTTTTCTGTTTTCTGTTTTCTCCGTGCCAAAAAGTTCCTGGATTTTTGGTATTGTATTACTCACAGGGTTGATAATATAAGATGTTCTTAGTTCCTAATGGCTCTTAATTTTGAAGTTTTTGGTATGTAAGGGAATCAAACATGTGAATATCTTTCCTTTATTATGGTCATAAAAACGTTTACAAAACATCCACAACAAGCACCTATAGCTCAGACCTCCAAACCTCTCTTTTTTGCTTCTCTGCTGTCTGCAAGCTCAAGCTTTGCAAAGATTGGCCAACATACAAACATACGCACAGGGATTTTATGCTACACCAGATATCAGCTCCCCTTCTGAAACTGGGTTGTCAGGATCAAGTTTGAATGACAGGACTACCAGCTACAGGCTTGATTTAACTCTGTTTTCTCTGGCCTCACAGGAGGATGAAGAAATTTCCACTTGAACTGCTCCACGTCTGCACCAAAATGAAAGTGCTGCTCAATGTGAATACCTGTATCCTTACACACCTAGTCTGAGGACTGGTGTGTAAAGCAAACACAGCAGTAGTGGCAGGGTCTGCAGTAAGAGGATGTTGGTAAGTTTCATCACTGTTTCATTTGTTTACTGTTCTCACTCCAGAGAATCACAATTAATCTGTCTGTCTTTCCCTGGTGTTCAAATTGCTTGCAAGGCATCTTTAAAAGCCTGTGCATAAACCTCATGCTGCTCTTTAAAGAGTTTAAAAACCAAACAGTGAAATAGTAATATTACATCCTTTTTAGATGACTGATGTCCAATCTGACTGCTGGGTTTCACCTGCTTCATTCCAGATATTAAAGTAATGAATAAGAAATGAGCTGTCTCGCTGCTTTTGGTTTTGTTTGCTTTTGTATCTCATCAGTATCACATTGGTATCATCACCAGGAAGAGATCCAACCAAATTTAAAATCTCTGCATTGGTTACCTGTGTCTTTTAGAGTACATTTTAAGGTTCTTTCATTAGCTTTTAAAGCTCTTAATGGTCTTGGTCCTCCTTATTTGTCTGATTTGATATGAGCCTGGTAGAGCCCTCAGGTCTTCAGGTGGTGGTCTTTTATTGTTCCCAAAGTAAAAACTAAAACATGGTGAATAGTCGTTCCAACATTATGGTCCCCATCTGTGGAACAGTCTACCTGCAGACCTGAGAGCGACACCTACTGTTCATATTTTTTAAAAGTAAACTAAAAACTAAACCCCTTTCAGTCTGGCTTTTAGTGTAATTTTGTTTTAATCTTTTAATCTGCATGATGTGATTTTATGCTATTATAGTTCTAGAGTAACTATTTTGTGTTTTATTACCTCTTTTTGATTTACTTTCTGTTATTGTTAGATTTTAAGACTGTTTTCTTTAATTAACTTTTTACGCTTTTTCACCTTTATTATATTTATCATGGTTTTATTGTTTTAGTCCTAGATCCAGTGTTTCCTCATCTTTTTTAATTCAAGGGGTCTATTTTCGTGCCTCACCGGAGACGTGCCGCAGGCGCGGCGTAAGTCAGGTCTGCCGTGCAATTTGGTATTTTGGGGAGCGTAAGTATCCCCCCTCCCTAACTCAGCTCCTCCCAGTGGCGTAAGTCGTAGGAAGGGAGGAGAGTGGGCGGAAAGTGGGTTTAACACAGCCGAGACCTGTATTGACCAATAACATCAGCTCCTCTCCTCGCCTTTAAATCCGTCACCGGCGAGGCGTTTTACAATTTTTGTGAAGCAGACAAAGAGATCAAGAGATGTCTTAAGACAGCAATGCCACATGATGGCGACAGAAGGCAGCCCCTCAAAAAGTGTCGCTGCAGAGGGCGTCCTGCACACTCTCATAAAAGCACAGATGGATTTGGTGTGTGTAAAGTTGGACCCACTGGTAAGACAAACACCCTTTTCCACAAATAAAGACACTCACATCAAGTTGCATATATTCAAACCCCACGTGACAAAGGTGGGTTGTGCGCACAGATCACAACATTAACTCCAATAATGGCATTAAAATCGGAACCATCTGTGCGTAAAGGATGCATCGCGCTCTTTCTTTCATAGATTTTGGCATATAAAATAAATTTGGCTCACAAAACTGAATATTATAATATTCCTATGTAGGCTTAAAGAAAAAAAAATCATCTAATCACTGAAACAAATCATCTGTTCAGCCGCAGCAGCAGCAACTGCAGCAGGACGGAGAGAGGACACAGAGACATGTCAAGGTCAAGCTGTGCGAGAAATAAGAGAAGGAGGAAGATAGAAATAGGGGAATACAAATTGAATATCTTGTTAACTTCATCGTGTGTGTCTATTTACTAGATATTTAATTTAATTTAATGCGGTTTCAGCTGTGTTGATCTGGTCAGGTTGTGTGTCCAAACGCGTGCCAAACGGGCTCATCAGATCAGATATAGATCAGAATATATCTATATAGATCTAAATGTATGTGCTGACTCAGATTATTGGTTGACGATGATTATTCATTGCTCTGAAATGTGCCTGACACTGTGGAAACCTGCCGGTGAGGCATTGGTGACGTATGCCGATACGCCTAAAATACCACTAGACCAGCTGCGCTCCGCCTGCGCTGAAAGCTGACCAGGTTTGAATCGGCGAGCTTTCAGCGCACTTTACACGCCAGTGGCGAGCACGAAAATGTCACTGCGCCAGCTGATTCTGTCGACACCTCCCCCTGCCACGCCACCACGCCCAGCTTGGCGGATCTCAGTGCACCTCAGTCCTTGAAAATACCAAACTGGCTGTACGCCGGGCTCCGCCAGACGAAAATACCACTGCGTGGGGTCCGCCACTCTCGGCCGCCTCCCCGGTGTACACGAAAATAGAGCCCAAAGTGTTTCCTCAGTCATCTGTGGCAAGTTGAAGAGTCCTCGCCAGAGGCCTGTACTACGAAGCTGGACTAACACATTCTTTCCATATGTGGTTGAATGGCAGTGAAGAGGAAATTCAAATCAAAACAAATTCAAATCAAAACAACTTAAAAAGCATCATTCAAATTCAAAAACAGAATGTCCCTCACAAGAGAGATCAAAGCCAAGTGATGTCATCGATGACATCAGATCAGCATTAGTAATTGAGTTGAGTTTCTCTGAAGAAGCGTGTCAAGAAGACTACTCAACGTTTGAGACGCGGATTTATCAACTCTCAACGATAAGAGGAAGAACTTGGATACCTATCGGCTGACAGCGACAACTCTCAACTAGCATTGTCTAGAGGACTACTCTACGTTCGAGACGCGGGTTTATCAACTCTCAGCGATAAGAGGAAGAACTTGGATATTTATCGTCTGTCAGCGATAAAGAGAAAAAGGACTTCGATCATCCCCCAAGAAGAAATCCAATGATGCAGAACAACAGGGAATCACAAACTCTCAGCTGGGCTGACATGATGGAGATGGAGGACCAGGCTGTTGAGATGATCAGCACCATGCCAGGAGCTGAACCAAGCTGCAAGCAAAACCAGAACAAGAGGGAATCACAAACTCTCAGCTGGGGTGACATGATGGAGATGGAGGACCAGGCTGTTGAGATGATCAACACCATGCCAGGAACTGAACCAAGCTGCCAGCAAAACCAACGCCGGCAGCCCCCGGCTCAGCTACCAGCGCAAGATCACAGGACCCCTCACCAAAGACAGCAAGGAGGTCACCAGGTGATCCACCAGGCCTCCTATCAAAGACCACGTGGGGGACATCAGGTCAATCACCAGGCCCCCTACCACAGGCAGCAGAGAAGCCATCAGGTTTACCACCAAAACCACCAGGCCTCCTATCAAAGACCACGTGGGGGACATCAGGTCAATCACCAGGCCCCCTACCACAGGCAGCAGAGAAGCCATCAGGTTTACCACCAAAACCACCAGGCCTCCTATCAAACACCACGTGGGGGACATCAGGTCAATCACCAGACCCCCAACCACAGGCAGCAGAGAAGCCATCAGGTTTACCACCAAAACCACCAGGCTCCCTACTACCAAGAACACCAGGCACGCACTCCCCCCGCATGGCAGGTGGAGGAGCAGGCCAATCATGCAGAGGCACAAGACATGGCTAGAGTGCAAAAACTTGAAGATCAGGTCGCATCTCTGAGAAAGAACCTTGATAATGAAAGACAGAGGGCCTCTTCCTTCCAACAACAACGGGAGGTAAGTAGGAATACGTTTCAGGTTCTCCTCAGAAAGGAAAGGAAGCAAGTTCGGGATCTGTATGCTGCGAAATGTTCTCTGGAAGAGCAGGTGAAAAAACTGCAAGAAGATGCATACAGTAGAGCTATGGAGGGATCCAAGAACACAGAGAAGATCCAAGAGCTCAATGACCTGGTATCATCTTTGAGCAACAAGCTGGAGGCTGAGATGCTGAAGACTGGCAACCTCCAGACACAGCTGGATGAGGCCAAGCTTCAGCTTCTTGAGGAAAATAACCAAGAACTGCAGCTGGATGATGGAATGGATGAAGAAAAGGACATTCTGGAGACCAAAGATGATCTGCTAATGGAAACGTCAGAAAATGAAGATCAAGGGGAGACGTTTGAAGTCACTGGCGAGGACATCAGAGAGCCCTCCCCTGAACTGGACAACACTTTGGTGGACAGCGAAGAAGACGGTCCACATACGGTTCAGGAGACACGTGAGATGACCTTACCAACACCTGAGGTCATCGCAGAAGCAACTGAACTGGAGTCCATCTCACTGTGGAGGAGGTTCAAAAAGGCCATGACTCCCAAACATCGCCGCAAATACAAGAGGCAGAGGCAGGACTGAAAGGCCCTGGCTCCTTGCTTTATTTAAGAAGCAAAAAAAATTGCTAAATAAATTGCAAAGAATAAAATAAACAAAAAATTAGAACATTTCATTGTCTTGATTATATTGTTTGACAGCTCTTCTCTCAACTGTTGAATGTGCAGTCAGCAAAAAAAATTACAATTGAAAAAAATATCTTCGCAGGAATTAAAAGCACAAAAAAAACTTTGCAAAAAAATTGCAAAGGAAAAAAAAATATCCTTAATGAGTTTATTTATTTTTATAAATGTTATTGCTGGACGGCTTTTCTCTAAACTGCTAAATGGGCAGTCAGGAAGTGTAAGTGTTTGGGTCATTAATAACCTGTACAGATAAAAGCTCACATGTTGTTTTGGGATTCACAATCAATCTTGAGCATTATCTTTGAAAGTGTCTGACCATCCCTCAGAGAGCTACTTCAGTCAGCCTACAAGCAGTCACAAGCTAGTTCTTTTCTTCTGTCTGTTTCATACAGTATATCGGTCCATTATGAAGGTTCAAAAATGGGCCATGACCCCCAATCATCCCTGCCATTAAGAGAGGCAGAGGCAGGACTGAAAAACCCCAACTCCTTGCTTTACTTGGAAAAAAAAATTTGCAAAAATAAATAAATAAATAAAATAAAGAATTAAGTATATTTCTCTATCTTGATATTATTGTTTGACAGCTCTTCTTTCATCCTACATTAAGGAAAAAAAAAAGAAAAAAAAAACACAGCAAAATAAAATTTGCAGGAAAAAAATTTGCAAAAAAATGCAAAAAAAGAAACTGCAAAAAAATTAAAAAGAAAAAAATAAACAAAAAAAATTAATATATTTCTCTGTCTTGATATTATTGTCTTAATATCTTCAAAACAACTGCGTAATAAAAAAATCCCTTTTTCAAAAGTGTGTTTGACTCAAAAGTTATGTTGTTTATTCTTTGAAGTAGATATGTTTAAATATTTCTGCAAAAAAAAAAAAAAAAGCATTTTAACATCTGTGTTAATGTGAATTCCTTGGCTTTTGCAAGCAGCCTCTAGTGGACACTCAAGAATTGCATCTTTTTGATGCATTTCTACATTGGCTTCATTTTCAACACCAGGTTACAATAATCAACAGACATTAGGTTCGACCATGAATACAATACAAAAACTCAACCATGGCTCCTGACAACCCTTTGGCAGGAGTTTTAATACCGCACTACAAAAACATACAAACCCTGCAGCTCCTCTCTGCAGCCATCCTACTCCTTAACTATCTGAAGTTATGCACATGTTCAAAATGTAGAGGCAGCACATTAAATCTGAACCTCAGCCTTTATTTCCTCTGCCTCCCACAACACGAAGAGACAAACAGCCTTATGTTTAATAATGAGAGCCTGAGCAGGGAGACCTTTATCTGAGGAGGAGACAGGGGAAATAATGGCAGTAATTAACTGAGCGTTACTCCTCAGTAAGACCTCCCAAGCACCCCCACAGTCATTCCAGCCCTCACAGAGCCTCCTCTTCCTCTGTCCAAATTGACACTACGGTTTAGTTTGACATGCTTCATCACTGAAGTGCTTATTTTGAGAGCTGTAAACAGGAAGCTTTGCTCTTGCTGAGCGCTGCAGACTGAACACAGTGTAAGGCATTTCTTTTCTAGACACATGTATTTCATCACCTGTGTCAGAAACATAGACAGTATAGCGTTTACCCCATGAAATCTCTCTATCCCACAGTTATCTCATGAGGCTTTTATCCATAACAGCTGTATTTGTCTCCATGACCTCTGGCCGCCAGCCTGCAAGATTCTAAAGTGAGGGTTGCAGATTAGCTTAGCAGTTTTAAGCATGTCCCTCATGTACTGAGGCTCTGGTCCTCACTGCAGTGGTTGCTGATTCTTCTCCAGGCCATGACCTAAGTTGCATGCCATCCCCTACTCTTATCCCAACAGTTCCTGTCCCCCTTCAGCTGACTTCTCTGATAAAAGCAAAATCCTTGAAAAGCAGGTGAAAAAAAGGTGAAAACAGCAGGTAAAAGTCAGAAAAATTCAGACTTTCACTTCTTTGAACTCCCATGGCTCGACATAGTTGTCACTGTTTTTGTCTAGATGTCTGCTCTTCTTTTCACTCCTGGGTAGTTGACATATTGTCATTAGTTTTAGTTTGTTGTAACATGGGATACTTTCAGGGGCAACTCCCCACAAACACTGGTTAAAAAAAAAAACAAACATCATTTTAGTGCAAGCGCAGTAGCAACAATATATATTATTTACTGGTGTGTGGGATTACACCCCAGCAGTGTCAGTCCTTAGGTTGGGGCGCCCCAGCCAAAAAGGTCCAGACACGCCCCTGCTTGTTAGTGCATACCTCGCCCTGAGTGGGTTATCGTAGCAACAGATGGATCCGTGCTCAACAGAGGGCTCTGTGGATGGATTAGAAGGACTGCAGTGAAAGATAGACTCACAGATAAGAGTCACACAGCTTATCAAGGATGTTGAGCACTGCTCTTGTGTATTAATGTTTGTCAAAGATGAAAACTAAGACTCTGTAATTTTTTCTATTTTGGTTAGTCTGTCAAACACACAATATTTGTACAGACAGCCAGTTCAAATCCACCAAACTAAACTAAACACACAAGGCTGACTCTTTTTCATCTTTATTAAGGTTTCTTCTGTTTTTGTGTCTTTGTCCAACTTCAATGTTAAACTAAACAAACCTGTCAGTACAATTTTATCAACAAAGATATTTAAATGATTTGTATTTTAAACAGCTCCACACGCACCCAAAAACTGTATCATAAAACACATCCATATCATACCATAACAAAGGCAGAAAATTAGCTACTGCTGCTCCTGTTAGCTAGCAGAGCAAATGTGACCAAACCATACAAGTTTTAATCTCAATTTAAATATTCTGATTTCAAGTGTTTGCAGTTATTAACATTTGTAACTTATTGACAGATGGTCTCCACGGCCAAACATATCAGAGAAACACCAAGTGAACCATAAAGTGTCAGTATCTTAGTACACTAAAACGAGAACAAAATGATTAATATTTGTCCAGTAACTAATGTAAAAAACAACCAAATACACCGACCAAAATTATAAAATTTGCTGTTTCTGTGCCAAACAGACCTGTCCCTGTCATTCAATTTGACCATACAATCAGTTACATTATCAGTCTTCATGTTTGTAGTTAACAGCCATTTGAGGAACTGCAGTTGTGCACATATGAAGACTAATCTGTCCACAGGGAGCACCAAAGCAGGTGCTGTAGCTTTAATTCTTTAGATCTAGATGTTACAGTTGGTCTCTATCGCGTATAGCCATAGACTGTATATAGAATAGACACCGTCTGCCTCCTCGCTGGGTGAAGCCACTGCCAGAACAGCACCCTCTGGCGACAGGCTGCAGTATAGGTCATAAATCCTGCCTCCTCCAGCAATCCCTGTGGAGCTGTGGACAAACTAGAAATTTATTACACAGAATATACATTTTTCTCCATCCTGCTTGCGATGTTGACATGTAGTTATTGTAAGACTGGTTTGTGCTCAAGTCCTCTTTTTTCTGTACAGCTCCATTTTTAAAAGTTATTAGGGGGTTCATGTTTTCTATGATTGACACTTGATACAGCCTGAGGGCATACAAAGATTGAATAGATCATCCGGGGGATATGTTGTTTGAGCTGAGCGTCATCACAGCGACTCTCTCTCCGAATACGTAGAATGCCGCTCAAGTGGTGGTTCCAGGAAGTAAAGAAAGTCCAGAAAATACAGAGAGCAGTTTGGATTCAAATCTGTATAATGACGGAAGTCAGAGCCAAGTTGTCCACAATAAAAACAGTCTATGAGTATAGCGCTGCTCCAAGACACGAGAAGCGATAGAAACTGAAGAAAAAAACAGGATTTATTGCTTTTCAAAAATAACTATTTGGATGAATTTGAGCTGATCCTACGTAGGAGGAGTCGATGAAGATAAGAAGAGATAAATCCTTCATCACCTCAAACATTACTGATTATTTGCCGCTTTAACTGTATTTATTTTTTGAAATAATAGGACAGCTTGGGAGAGACAGGAATTGTGTCATACGTCATGCTTGACATCCCCCTGGTCACCGATGCCCACTCGCTCTAATTTTATAAGATGTTGATCTGTATGGACAACACATGTTCCAGCGGGCGCTGCAGCACACTGCAATAAATCACCACGCCTGGATAATTTATGGATACGAGCAAAAAGGAAGACGTGATCATTATGTTTTGACGGCTCACATAGCTACCATCCACAGCACATATATTAGATCAGCCAGGTTAACACCTTCATCTCAGCCCTTTGCCGTGACAAATTACAGCTGCAGGGCTTTTCAATAAGGCAGAGAGGATTGCAGTTTTCTGTCCTTATTTGCAGCATCAGATCACTTTATGGGGCTGTGAGATTCACAGCATTGTTTTTCCTCAGCTCTTATTTCACTCCTTCAAGAAGTGAGGACAATAAAGTCTTGGTTCCTGGTGGTTTAACTCACATAAAGCATCTTGAAATCTCTCAAGCTCGTGGCCAATTCGCCTGACGATTTGTTTGAAGACATCTTTTGAGACGCAGGTTATTCCTGACGGGACAAACAGAAGCTGCTGTCGTGTAGAAAGGATCCACCGTCACTGCTGAAAACAGGTTCAGAAATCAAGTTGACATTTTCCTCCCCCAGCATGCCTCTCTGCAGGGACATGCTTATCTTTTACCGTTCTGCTTTTTCATCACCCTGGTTCTCAATTATTGGGCTTCCTGGAAATTGTGGGTGCTTTTAGGCCTCCCAGCTTGCTCAAAATTGTGATTTCAATAACATCCTCTGCTTATAAATGAGCAGGATTTAACCTCAGTGTTTCTGTTATGATGACATGAATGCTGTCGGCATGTGCATCTAACCCCTTTGACATGTAAAAATACATCTATTAAACAAACAAGCTTGGATGTGTGTTTACATCGCTCCTCGTTGAAGGCTGTCATGCTGCGACAGTAATCGTC